TCTCCTCTCTCACTCTTTCTTTAAAAAAAAAAATAAATAAAATAAAATATGCAGAGGATATTCACAGGTCATATGCAAATACCAGGCCATTTTATATACGGAACTTGAACATTTGTGGAGTTTGGTATTCCTGGGGGTCCTGGAACCAACCTCCCTTCAATACCAGGGGATGACTGTACATAGTTGGTGCTCAGTATAGGTTAAGTGAATGAGTAACATAAATTTTTTTTTAGCAGGGTCTTATATAAAAGATCTTCAACTGGGCCCGGTGGCACACCTGTAATCCCAGTGGCTCAGGAGGCGGAGGCAGGATGAACGGGAGTTCAAAGCCAACCTTAGCAATAAGTGAGGTGCTAAGCAACTCAGTGAGACTCTGTCTCTAAATAAAATACAAACTAGGGCTGGGGTGTGGCTCAGTGATCAAGTGCCCCTGAGTTCAGTCCCTGATACCGATCCTCCAACAACAACAAAAAAAGATCTTCATTATTTTTTATTATTTTGATTACATATGTCCTCCTCTCAGATCATGAATTTTCTATTCACTTGTACAGATCTTTTTACTTTTCTCCTTTCCTTTCTTTTTTGTTGTTATTTTTTTACTTTTTTTTTTTTTTTGAGGTGTACTGGGGATTGAACTCAGCGGCTGGGGATATAGCTCAGTTTGTAGAATGCTTGCCTTACATGTGCAAGGCCTTGGGTTCTAATCCCCAGTACCACAAAAGAAAAAGAAAGAAAAAAAATAACAAGAAGTTTTTTTCGTACACCAAGCTACCTGTTTTAGGTGACCCCTCTGAGTCATCAGACTACACTTTTGGGGTCCCTGTGTTGCGGGGGCTCAGAATATATGTGAAGGAAATGGGATTGTGGGTTTGATGATACTTGCTTCTTTCACATTCCCATTCTCTCTCTTGTTTCAGTGGGTTTACTAAGAATCTTTAGACTCACGAATACACACAAGTCTTATATTTTATAGGGAGACCCAGAAGAGGTCTAGTAGAGGCTATATTGATTTAGGATAGTTGCCGGATCCTGCAGTTAACACACAAAGGTCTGTCCCTAAATTCTGAATTTCCATCATTGGCCCTTGGCATGCTGCCTTCTCTAGGTTATAAGATCACTTGTTAGTGTGTTACTCTCCAGCACCACAGTGCCACCTTCAAGTTTGGATCTTCCTGTTTTGTGTAACTTCCAAATGTCCTATATTTTCTTCATTAAGTTCTTAGATAGACCATGGCCCTGAGAGCATGTGGCTTGATCATCTTCCGAAGACGCCTTATTCCCAAGGTGGACAACGATTCAATTGAATTTCTACTGCTGCAGGCATCAAATGGCATTCATCACTGGACTCCTCCCAAAGGTGTGAAGCCAGAGGGGCTGGCTTTTAGGGAAATGCCAAGTGTTGCTCTTGTTTCCCAGGAACTGGTGGGATAGGCAGAAGGCCTTGATCCTTTCTATGTACAAGGTCTGCAGGCCAAAGCAAAGCTGAAAATAGAATTCTGTGGTTGCATTCCAGGGCAGAAGCAGCATCTGGTGTTTTTGTATCATTCACCAGATCTCCAGCTTCTGTGGTGAATGATGGTGTAGGAGAAAACCATCATCGGACTGGGAATTGTGGGTGTTGGGAGTTGAGTCATGACTGGGCTATGTGCCCACCTCTCTAGGCTTTTGAATTTTTCATCTGTCAAAGAAGGAAGGGGTTGACCAAAAAATCCCAAGTTTTCTTTTAGCCCTATATTGGATTTCATTTGATCAGGTTCCTTTGACTACTTGTTCAGTGTCCCATTCACTAGGTTTTTCTTTTGAACTAAACATCCGGAGTGTTTTTTAATCTAGCTATGTTTTGAGTTAGAAGCACAGAGAAGGTGGGTTCCCTGATCATGCATTCATCTGCAGTCTCTGACAGAAGTGGAAGAGTAAGGGAAACAGAGAGCCCTTCTTAAAGCAGGAGGTTTTGAAGATCGGAGACCTTGGGATTGCAGTTTGATCAACCACCTATGCCCTGGGTCCATCATTCAGCACCCAGGGTAGAGTGGTCAGTTCTCTAACAGGCTGAACAGTGAAGACTAGTGGTCTGGGGTCTTCAGCCAGGCCAAGATCTGTTTGTAAACTGGCTGTATTTCATCCACTAGCATTCCTGATCTCACTTCTAAGAGTAAGAGAGATTTCCTCAGATGATCCCAAAAAATAAGCCATTCTGTGTAGGGAGAAAGAGGGGAAAGAAGCCGTTGGAATGGTCCAAGTGGGCAGGAACAGACTTGTTTTGGCCCCTGTGGGGATGAGAAGCCCTGAGTGAATGGCTCCCAGACAAGATATCAGGGAGTGAGATGGGGAGGGGTAGACAAGGATCTAGGGTTGGAAGAAAACAAGGAAATGATAACAGAAAATAAAATTTTGCACATTTGTGTTGTACCAGGAAGAAACAAGGTGGAAAAAAGAAGTGTCATAAATACTATGAATAGGAATATTCACACTTATCTTCTGGTCACCTAGTCACACTGCATGATCCCCTCATTAAAGGATGTCAGCAGCTCTCTTAATCATTTCCTGCCTGGACTTGGGGAGAAGTTACCCTGTTATCATTAAATATCATTGAATTCTGGAAGGAATGTGCTCAGAAATTCGCCCACACTTGAGGGGAGACAGGAAATCCTAAATAAGTGTCACTAATCAGCATCCTTCCATTTTACTCCCTCAGTGTATTAGCTATCTGTCTTTATGTACACTATAGGAGGTGCTATGCAGAGAAAATGTCCCGCAGCCATAAGCTAAAAAGGGTTCTTCAAGTGCCAAGTTCCTGATTTTCTGTGCAGCAGCAACTGACTGTGAGCATTGTATGTGGACCCCTGGGAAAGGGAAGTACTAGGGTATAACTCCAAACCAAGAGGGTAACAACTAAAGAGTTTCTGCTTCCCCTGAGCTCCAGGAGGCTCCTCGGCAACTTGCCACAACCATGAGTAGACAGGTTACCAGAATACTCCCTGATATTTCTGGGCCCCTCAGGGCAAGCCGAGAATTTGTGGAAAAAGCCTAGGCATAAAGCTGAGGGGCCACTCTGGTCTGCAGAGCCTCAAATTCTCCTACAACAGTTTCTTGGCAGCTGTCTTCTTGAATTTCAGACTTGCCAACAAATTTTCTTAGAACTGGCTCTCAACTTGTGCTTAGTCTAAGTTCCCATCAGGACTTTCCCTATGAAACTGAAATCTGGCCTTGTTCAGTAAGAAAGATGAAAACAATTTGGAAAAAAGCTTTAATGGCTGCTTGGAAACAGCTGTTGGTGTAGCATTTCAGGGTTTTGAGTCCGTCTGTTGGCCCTGGAACTTAAGGGTCCAACTATAGATAGTGTTATGTCCTCAAGTATCACCCTGCCAAAAAGGGACTGCTCCTCAGAAATTGCTTTAAGGTCTCTAAGGAAAAGTCTCTAAGAGCACAGGAGATAGAAAACTGAGAAGGACTGTCTTGCTTACCATCCAGAAGCAGTATTCTAAGCCTGATTTGCCAAACATAGTTTGTTTTGCTCTCTTCAGAGAAAATGGAGTGGGAAGGAAGAATTCCTTAGATCTCAAGAACCAGGCACTACCTACCTTGTACTCCTTCCCAGGCACATCAGGCTATTACCAATCATTTTTTAAAAATACTTTTTAGTTGTCAATGGACCTTTATTTTAGTTACTTATACATGGTGCTGAGAATCGAACCCAGTGCCTCATGCATGCTAGGCAAGCACTCTACCACTAGGCTACAACCCCAGCCCAGGATATTTCCAAATCTTTAGACTTCTTTTAGCCTAGAAACTCCTAGAAAAGTCACCTAATACCCTATCTTCAAGACATCAAGCCTGGAAAAATCTATCTTTAGGTACTACTGAAAATTCCCTCCTCCTTTTCTCTTAACCAGGCCATGTGGACCCAGGAGAGAATGACTTGGAGACAGCCCTAAGAGAGACTCGGGAGGAAGCAGGAATAGAAGCTCACCAGCTGACCATCATTGAGGGGTTCAGAAAGGAGCTCAATTATGTTGCATGGCAGAAGCCTAAAACAGTCATTTACTGGCTGGCAGAAGTGAAGGACTACGATGTGGAGATCCGCCTCTCCAATGAACACCAAGCCTACCGCTGGCTGGGGCTGGATGAGGCCTGCCAGTTGGCTGAGTTCAAGGAGATGAAGGCAGCACTCCAAGAAGGACACCATTTTCTTTGCTCCACAGCGGCCTAAGCTGACCAGAGCAGTCATTTGCTTCCAAAGGATTCTTGAGGGCTGTTGGAAATTAACCCTGCCCTTTGGTCCAAGGAAAGATATGCGGGTCTTTGGCTTGTTACAGACAAGAGCAGAAAGTTTACTGAAGTCAGTTTAGGATTGTCAAATGAGAACAAGTAAGAAAATTAGCTGAGTGAAAAGACAAAGTATTAAAAAAAAAAAAACCACAACAGTAAGTGCATTTTTTACTTTATAAATAAACCTCAAGTAGCTTATCTGTCCTTCTAACCTATCTGTTTATTTCTTGGATTCTTGGCATTGGTGAGAAGAAGAAAGCTAAAGTGAATCAGAGCTCTGACCTTAACCAGAAGAAATCCCATGACCATACACTCTACCCTAGAAAAGCTAAGGGCCAGGGAATCAGAATGGGAGAGACCCAGGACTGCTAGGGTGGCTCTTCTACCTCTGACTAGGCATCCCACCCCTGCCAGTGTTCCTGGGTCTGTGCTATAGTCAGGATTTCTAAGCAAGTAAGACTTGGAGCACAGAAATTTAGTTTGTTCTGTTCACTGGTGTGTCTCTACCACCACAACCATACACACACATGCTGACAGCACTGCACACATATCTTATATGTACTCAGTAAATATAATTAGATATCCAAGGAACTTTGGCTCCCCACAACAGAGAGGGACAGGCAACCCTGGAATACAGGACCATGACACACTCTGACCTCCCAATCCACTGTTGCCTTGCCAGGTAATGAGCCTTGTCAACATGACATAGGGTCACCAAGAATGAGGCAATCCCAGTCTCGGGTTCTCCTTGGCTTCCCAGCAGCCATATCATTACACCTGTGCATCCCTCTCCTGCAGCTGCCTTTCCCACCCCCAACTACTCCCTTTCCCCATAACTCCAGTGTAAGACCCAGAGGTGCAAGAGTTGGGTCTCAGCCTTCTTTTCCCTTGCTACTAGGGCTCAAAGAATGAAGGGGCAGGTGTTAGATCTTATAGCTCTTCCAGAAGCTGTTAGCAGCTGGGTTCATGTGGATTTTATTACAGCATTGTTGTCCAATGTAGTGTAGAAGACTAGAAGGGAAGGGGCATTGGCAAAGGTCAACCTGGATTACCAGAGTCAAGAACAGTCACCCCAAAGGAAGAAGAGAGAAGTCCCCTAGGTCTTAAGCAGGCTCCAGATGTTTCCAGTCACTGGTTCCTGCAGACAGGGCAAAAGTATTAGTGAACAGAATCTTGGAGGACAGCCAAGGACCTAAATGGTTTTGTTCCTCACCCTTCTGAGCAGCAGTCTCCAAAGGAGGCCTGCTGCAGGAAGTTTTTGGAGCTTAATGTTCTCTTCCAGGCCAACAGGGACCACATCCCACTGATTTAATAAATGCCTGCTGGGCAGTGGTGCCAAACCACAGACAAGCTGCCTCCTAACAAGGCTGGCCAGCTCTGTGCTCTCAGAATGAGAGGCTGTGGAATCTCAAAACTAAAACCTCATACATCAAAGTTGGAAGGGAACTAGAAAATTACCTGATTTTGCTGCTCATTTTTATTGCTGGGGAAATTAAGATTATTATAAAAGTAAATGGTAAATTGGAGGCATGTTGGAGACTGAGGCAGGAGGACTGCAAGTTCAAGACCAGCCTGACTGGAGCTGAGGATGTGGCTCAAGCAGTAGCGCGCTTGCCTGGCATGCGTGTGGCCTGGGTTTGATCCTCAGCACCACATACAAACAAAGATGTTGTATCCGCTGAAAACTAAAAAATAAACATTAAAAAAATTCTCTCTCTCTCACTCTCTCTTAAAAAAAAAAAAAAAGACCAGCCTGAGTGATTTAGCAAAAAAAAAAAAAATACTCTTAATTAAATTTTTAATTTAAATTTTATTAAAAAATAAGAGCTGGGGATGTAACTCAATGGTAGAGTGCTTGCCTAGCATATGCGAGATCCTGGATTTAATACTCCCAGTACTCCAAAAAAAAAAAAAAAAAGATCCTGGTAGTTGCCTAAAAGCAGGGGTTTTTAGAGATTGAGATGTCAGAGGGAAGACTGCTTTAGAATATCTTGCATGGCTTTGGAGTCATGTGTACTTTAATGAATGGGTCTACCATAACTTGTATTATGTGGAGGGTGGGTATGGGCGATTGAATCCAGGCGCACCTAACCGCTGAGCTACATCCCCAGACCTTTTTATTTTTTATTTTGAGACAGGGTCTCAAATAATTGACAAGTAAGCCAGGTGTGGTGACACACATCTGTAATCCCAGCAGCTCAGGAGGCTAAGGCAGGAGGATCGAAAGTTCAAAACCACCCTCAGCAATTTAGCAAGATTCTGTCTCTAAAATTAAAAAGGGCTGAAGGTGTGACTTAGGGTTGAGCATCCCAGGGTTCCAATCCCAGTACCAAAAGAAAAGAAAGAAAAAAAATGTTATGAGAAGTGGATAAGGTGAGGACAGAATGGAACTAAGATTGGAATGTGGTAGTGAATAGGCTTTCCCCTCATCATCACTTTGCTTTTGGTCACCCAGGCTTGTTTGATCTGAATTTAGAGACCCCCAAAAGCATCTCAAAGTCCACCTCACTTGCCCCTGCCATACTCTCTCATTTGGTAGAGCTCTACTCTGTTGATGCTGCACTTTGGAGTAGGCCAGGCCTCAGACCTCTGCAGAGTTGTCCCAGCTCAGGAGATAGACTTACATGATGAAAGTTTTCTTCCAGAGGATGGAACAGGTTGAAAGGAAACTGCCATAGGACTGATCACACAGACATACCAAGGACGAAGCAAACTTATTGTCAGGAACTTGACAAGTGCCTCACACAGACAGAAAAGCAGCAACTCCCCTTGAGCAATAATTTTTTTAAGCCAGAGTCATAGCCACACATTAAGGGCGGGTTTAGCTTTGTGATTGAAGGTGAAGAGTGCAGGTGGAGAGCAGGCTTTCAAAACCTTTTTTTTTTTTGGTAGTACTGGGGGTATTAAATCCAGATCTCACATATGCTAGAGGGGCAGGAGGGGCAAGTACACTTCATAAAGTGTCACCAGGTTCTCAAAATTGACTCCTTCTATACACACTCAGGAAATAGGTTAACGTCTGCAGCATAGTTTAAAGACATTGTGGTCAGGTTGCAGCTGTGTGGGGGTGTCAGCTTCTATGTGAGTGGGCTCTTTTAGGAAGGGGGCCAACTTTGCACAGAGTGAGATGTCTGAGAAGAATGGGTCAGCCTGACTTAACTTTCAAATCAGCTCATAGTTCTGCCAACACAGGTCAGCACTGATCAGAAATGGGAGGAGTCCCTTGCTCCAGCCCCTGAGGGAAAGTGCTCCTGGGATTCCAATCAGTTTGTCATCCTTTGGCTCTCAGAGTTCTAAAGCCCAATCCCTCCCAGGCATTGTGTGTAGAGTTTAAGTGGGTTATATGACCAGGGCAAAGAGATTGCTGATCTGGTCATCCTTCTACTCCACAAGGATCTCCCTAAGGGCAACCTTAAGGAATAAGGTGCTGAAAGAGGGTTCTGTTCTGTCCTGAGCTTGGGCAGAAAGTAGAACCACTCATTTCTTCCTACAGGTATCAGAAGGAAAATGCCAGTCCTTCTTAAGATCTCAGTAGAGGTTGACTTGGGAAAGGATCCTAGACAGAGCCACAGTTTGGAAAGCAGAAAACTCTGGCTTGAGTTGCCCCTATTTAAACATTTTATTTATCATTTCTGTGTCTCCTGAAGTCCTGACTCTTTCAAAAATCTTTCCCAGGATTTTCATAAATTTCTGATTTCCATTCCCCTGATGTCTACTTGCCCTTTTTCAAAACTCATCTTGTGGGGCTGGGGATGTGGCTCAAGCGGTAGCGCGCTTGCCTGGTATGCGTGCGACCCAGGTTCGATCCTCAGCACCACATACCAACAAAGATGTTGTGTCCGCCGAGAACTAAAAAATAAATATTAAAAATTCTCTCTCAAAAAAAAAAAAAAAACCTCATCTTGTACCTTAGAGAGTTGCTCGTTGATTTTTTTTTTTTTTTTGTACTAGGGATTGAACCCAGAAATGCTTTATCACTGAGCCAGATCCCCAGCCCTTTTTTAAAATTTTATTTTGAGATATGGTCTCACTGAGTTGCTTGGGACCTACATTGCCAATACTGACCTTGAATCCTCCTGCCTCAGCCTCCTGAGTCACTGGGATTAAAGGTGTGCACCACTGTGTTCAGCTGCTTCATTGTTTTTTTGTTTTACTATTTTATTTATTTATTTTCTTGCTGTAATGGGGATTGAACCCAAGATTTTGTGCATGCTAGTTAAGTGCTCTACTATTGAGCTACAATCTCAGTTATTTTTATTATTTATTTGTTTGTTTGTTTATTTATTTATTTATTTATTTATTGGTACCAGGGATTGAACACATGGGCTGATTTCACTTAAACACTGAGCCACATCCCCAGCCATTTTTAAATTTTTATTCTGAGGAAGGAACTAGCTAAATTGTTTCGGGCTCACTAAGTTGCAGAGGTTGGCTTTGAACTTTTGGTCCTCCTGCTTCAGCCTCCTGAATTGCTGGGATTATAGGCATGTTCCAGCAAACAATGACTTTTAAAACATTTTATTTCTATTTACTGCATATGTAATTAAAAGGTATATTTTGAAAAAATACTCTTGTCCCTCTGAAGAAAAAAAAAAACTGGTTTGGGTATGAGCAGAAAATGTTCAAAGGCTAGAAAAGTTCATTGTGAGTAGATATTATTTTTAATAGGACTTAAATTACAAAAGAGAGAAGACAGGAGAGAAGGGGTCAAAAAGAAAGTGAAGTTTGTTTCAGATGGAAAAGAACATGCAGGTCATAGTTATTCCTTCCCCCAGTTAGACCAAGTCCTGGGCAGAAACAAACAATGGGTAAAGTATGTTGACTATAAATGTAAAATAATTTCAGGTGACAAAGTTCACCCAGAACTAGAATTCTGTTCTTCTGTTTATTCTGTAAGGCTTTAAAAAATTCAATATAATTCATATATAATAAAATTCACCCTTTAAAAGAGTATAATTCAGTGGGTTTTAGTTTATTCACAAGGTTGTACAACTATCACCATCACAATATAATTCTAAAAGATTCTCAACACCTAAAATATAAATTACCACATCCATTAGCAATTATTCTCATTCCACTTCCTTCCAAATCCACCTGTCATTAGTTACCATTATCTTACTTTCTATGATATCTGGATATTTCATATAAATGGAAT